GCGAGCATACTGCCCCGCGCTGAGAACATAAAGAGCAGTGCTACACCCTTTTTTCACTTGTGCCTTTCAGGTGAACGACATCCACTGACCGACAAGAACAAAACCGACCCGGGAGACTTGGGCAAAAGCCTCGATCCTGTGTATCAATCCGTGAATCCGTGAATACCAGCGTGGACTCTGACCAAGCACTTGCGCGCTGCGCAGCGCCGCTTCTCAATGTGCTTTCCAGTTCTACGCAAAATGCCCACACCGCGCTTAGCTTCTGCGAAACTAGTTAACCAAGAAAACAAACGAAACTTTCCGAACTGGCTCCCTGAACACCTACAGGACAGCAAAATAATAGTTCAGCTGCAGCACCCTTTCGGCGCCTAGCTGCCATTCCAACCGAAGGAAGGACGAGGACTGGGGCGCCAGGCCGCCCAAGCCTAGACAGGGACAACTGAGAGGCAGAAGTCGGGTTCGAACCACGGACCTCTCGGTCATTAAATTTACACTCTGACCACGGAACCATCTCGGCCCTAAAGGATGGCCCGATGTCGGGCATAAATGACCACAGATATCCAGTCGAAGCGAAATTTCTGTTTACGGTACAACGCAACTGACCTCATTCAAACGTTGGATCTCTGATAGAATTGCCTTCGCTGGAGGCCCGGTGACAGTTTATCCCTGGCTGCAACCACAACTCCGCCCGACGCATCATCCGACGCCAGGTAAAACCGAGTGTCCGTGCAGACCGTAAAGCTTGGTGGACCCTAAAAGCTGAGGTAATCGATGCCGAAAATGCTGGAAACGTCCGCAATCTGTTCCACTTAGTTCGTTCGACTGGTCCTCGGAAGCCTCCTGTCAGTGAAACTATCAGGAACAGAGATAGCTCTCTGACATCTAGCAAAGGAAGGCGATTAAACCGATTAAACCTTGAAAAAATTTCGCTGGACACGTGCCATCGCCATCCCGACTGTTGAGAAACCAGTGTCTTTTGGTTCTGGCCTGAGTGAATCAATGAGACGAAGAGACTGGACCTTGGTTGTTGGCTTGTTCGCTGAGCTAGGCAATTTGATTGCAAACGTTTCACCACCAATCGAGGTGACATCATCAGTGCGTTATCGCGGTTGGTGGGTTGGTGGTTGTGCCTCTATAGAAGACTGGACCTTACCGTGGTGTGACGGTTTGCGCACCTCAGCGATCCATTGAGCTATACTGGAGAGTGTCCCGCGACACTCACAGAGTCTCTCATACCGGGTTGGTCCATGGGTATAGGTCTGCCGAACACAGTTTCCTGGCCCTTCAGGTTGAGGGTTAGGACATGTATGGCGACGTGTTCCGTAAAAACGGTAGTGCAATTACATTTCCACCGCTGCCTTGCGGGTAGGCTTTTGAGCCAAAGGCTTTGGTTGAGGACCATAATCGTCCTCCTGTCTAGGTGTGGGCGCCCTGGCAGTATCACACAACTAACAATACTCTCATCCCACACCGGCCGTCGCGTGGTCCCATCAGCCGGGTCGCCTTACTTGCTGCATACAGCAGGGCGGGTAAGCGAAAACATGCTACTGCTGACGCCTCCATTCTTATACCTTCATTTTTGCGTCTTTCATCCTCCCCCGCCAAAATTGCAATGTTTTCTCCACAGGTCCTAGCTCTAGGACTGACCGTTTTGCTTGCTCTGCATCACACTCAGCTGCAACTTCTGCACTTTTGAGTTCAGTTACAACCGTAAACATTTCGAAGTTAGTTTTCAAACCCCGAAAGCCTGTCTGCTTAGCCACCTTAAATGTTCGCACACTGAAGCAAGCAGGTCGACAGGTGGCTCTCGCTCTTACGCTGGATTCCTTCTGTATTGATGTATGTTGTCTGTCAGAAACAAGGACGCAGGACGCAAGTACTCTAATCGAACTGACTGCCCCCTCGCAATGCTGCAGGTTCCGGCTCATC